ACAGTTTCTGATAGACTCTTTTAAGTTAAAATATTTCTACTGGTAACTATGGAAAATCCACAGATGTAGTTCTAAACAGTTTCCCAGCAATAAAAAATTACCAGGAAATTTCTGGAAAAGCTTTTAAAAATGTGTGGATTATTAATATTTGGATGGCTTTGCCAGGATTGCACTAATAGGAAAAATATAAATTATTATCCTAATCCAATCTCCATATACTATTGCAGTTATAATACAAAACAAAACATTGGCATACTTTATATTGTATGCATAATCCCACAATCTCTAAGAATGAATGGTAAAATTTCCTCCCAGTTTTCTAAAGTTACAATTTAACACTCCCAGGGTTTCCTCATGAATGAGGTTGTTTCATATTTCTATTTTCCTTAATTCAGTGGCTTCTAATACCTGTCCCAATGAATCCTCTCTCTCCTTAGTGGCTCTAGATGGGTCGTTATCCATCCATCTGCCTGTCCTGGCAAATAAGCCCTTCAAATGATTATCCCTGACTTGGGGTAGTTAAATATATATTAGATGATCATTAACATGAAACCATGTGTCCATATAAACAGCAGGCACCTTAGCAGTAGGTAGGTTAGTGTTCCTGGCATCAAACTTGCCAAGGGACCTGCTAAAAACTGGAATACGGGATGCCTGTCATATTGGATGCACAGTTTGATAATATTATCTGATAGGGTAGAGATGGCCAAAATTACCTCTACAGATTTCATGCAGTCAGAAAGATGTAAAAGCCTACACCAGTGAATAAATGGAAGTGAATGTTTCTAAATCCTATATTATCATGAGAAATCAATGTTAAGTTTCCCTATTACAGTAAAAAAAAATCCTGTTTTCTAGTCTTCAGGTCTCAAACACTTATGATCAAAAAGAAGAACCTCACTCATTATAAAGTCTCCTCCTCGTCTTCCTCCTCCAACTCCTCCTCCTCATATACTTATATTCTCCTCCATGACCCATGATATACATTATTAATAGAAGAAAAATAAATATTCACTCTTACCTGAAAAGGTACTTACCCTTGTAAACATTACCTCACTGCTTGCACACACCCTGGTATCAGAGTTTGTATCCTTACCATCTCCATAATACCTAGTAGGTCTTACAGCACTACATACACAGTGTTGGAAATGTCCATTTAGTATTTTATTATTTTTTATTTTATTTTTATTTTTTTAAATTTTTTATTAAGGTGTTATTGATATACATTCTTATGAAGGTTTCACATGGAAAAATAATATGATTACTACATTTACCCATATTATCAAGTCCCCACCCATACCCAATGCAGTCACTGTCCATCAGTGTAGTAAGATGCCACAGATTCACTATTCGCCTTCTCTGTGCTACAGTATTTTCCCAGTGATCCCCCACACCATGTGTACTAAACATAATACCCCTCAATCCTCTTCTCCCTCCCTTCCCACCAGTCCTCTCACACCCCTCCTCTTTGGTAACCACTAGTTCCTTCTTGGAGTCTCTGAGTCTGCTGCTATTTTGTTCCTTCAGTTTTGCTTCATTGTTATACTCCACAAATGAGGGAAATCATTTGGCACTTGTCTTTCTCCACCTGGCTTATTTCACTGAGCATAAGGTCCTCCAGCTCCATCCATGTTGTTGCAAATGGTAAGATTTGTTTCTTTCTTATGGCTGAATAGTACTCCATTGTATATATGTACCACATCTTCTTTATCCATTATTCTATAGATGGACACTTAGGTTGCTTAAATATCTTGGCTATTATAAAAAGTGCTGCAATGAACATAGGGGTGCATATATCTTTTTGAATCTGAGAAGTTGTATTCTTTGGGTATATTCCAAGGAATGGGATTCCCGGTTCAAATGGCATTTCTATTTTTAGTTTTTTGAGGAACCTCCATATTGCTTTCCAAAATGGTTGAACTAGCTTACCTTCCCTCCAGCAGTGTAGGAAGGTTTCCCTTTCTCCGCATCCTTGCAAGCATTTGTTGTTCTTAGTCTTTTTGATGCTGGCCATCCTTACTGGTGTGAGGTGATATCTCATTGTAGTTTTAATTTGCATTTCCCTGATGATTAGTGATGTGGAGCATCTTTTCATGTGTCTGTTGGCCATTTGAATTTCTTCTTTTTATAACTGTCTCTTCATATTTTCTGCCTATTTTTTTTACTGGGTTATTTGCTTTTTGAGTGTTGAGGCATCTGAGCTCTTTATATATTTTGGATGTTAACCCCTTGTCAGATATGTCACTTACAAATATATTCTCCCATACTGTAGGATGCCTTTTTGTTCTGTTGATGGTGTCCTTTGCCCTACAGAAACTTTTTGGTTTGATGTAGTCCTGGGTGTTCATTTTTGCTTTTGTTTCCCTTGGTTGAAGAGATGCATTCAAGAAGTTGCTCATGCTTATATTCAGGAGATTTTTGCCTATGTTGTCTTCTAAGAGTTGTATGGTTTCATGATTTACATTCAGGTCTTTGATCAATTTCGAGTTTACTTTTGGGTATGAGGGTTAAACAATTATCCAGCTTCATTCTCTTGCATGTAGCTATCTAGTTTTGTCAACACCAGCTGTTGAAGAGGCTGTTATTTCCCCATTGTATGTCCATGGCTCCTTTATCATATATTAATTGACCATATATGCTTGGGATTATATCTGGTCTCTCTAGTCTGTTCCATTGGTCTTTGGGTCTGTTCTAGTGCCAGTACCAAATTGTCTTGATTACTATGGCCTTGTATTAGAGCTTGAAGTTGGGGAGCATAATCCTTTATTCTTCCTTCTCAGGATAGCTTTGGCTATTTGGGGTCTTTTGTGGTTCCGTATGAATTTTAGAACGATTTTCTCTAGTTCATTGAATAATGCTGTAGGTATTTTGATAGTGATTGCATTGAATCTGTAGATTGCTGTAGGCAGGATGGCCATTTTGACAATATTAATTCTTCCTATCCATGAGCATGGAATGTGTTTCCACTTACTGGTATCTTCTTTAATTTCTCTTATGAGTGCCTTGTAGTTTTCATGGTATAGGTCTTTCACTTCCTTGGTTAGGTTAATTCCTCGGTATTTTATTCTTTTTGATGCAACTGTGAATGGAATTGTTTTCCTGATTTCTCTTTCTGCTAGTTCATCGTTAGTGTATAGGAATGCCATAGATTTCTGTGTATTAATTTTGTATCCTGCAACTTTTCAGAATTCACATATTAGATCTAGTAGTTTTGGAGTGGATTCTTCAGGGTTTTTTATGTACAAAATCATGTCATCTGCAAACAGGGACAGTTTAACTTCTTCCTTGCCAATCTGAGTGCCTTTTATTTCTTTGTGTTGTCTGATTGCATGGCTAGGACATCCAGTACTATGTTGAATAGAGGTGGGGAGAGTGGGCATCCTGTCTTGTTCCCAATCTTAAAGAAAAAAGCTTTCAGCTTATTGCTGTTAAGTATAATGTTGGCTGTGGGTTTATCATATAAGGCCTTTATTATGTTGAGGTACTTGCCCTCCATACCCATTTTGTTGAGAGTTTTTATCATGAATGGATGTTTAATTTTGTCAAATGCTTTTTCGTCATCTATGGAGATGATCATGTGGCTTTTGTCCTTTTTTTTGATGTAGTGGATGATACTAATGGATTTTCTGATATTGTTCCATCCTTGCATACTTGGAATAAGTCATACTCGATCATGATGGATGATCTTTTTGATGTATTTTTGAATTTGGTTTGCTTATATTTTATTGAGTATTTTTGCATCTATGTTCATGAGGGATACTGGTCTGTAATTTTCTTTTTTTCTGGTGTCTTTGCCTGGTTTTGCTTTTAGAGTGATGCTGGCCTCATAGAATGAGTTTGGAAGTATTCCTTCTTCTACTCTTTGGAAAACTTTTAAAGAGGTTGGGTTTTGGTCTTCACTGAATGTTTGATAAAATTCAGCAGTGAAGCTATCTGGTCCAGAGGTTTTGTTCTTAGGTAGTTTTTTGATGACCAGTTCAATTTTGTTGCTGTTAATTGGTCTGTTCAGATTTTCTGTTTCTTCTTTGCTCAGCCTTTGAAAGTTTTATTTTTGTTTAGTATTTTATAACCTTCATTAAACCATATATCCTTTGGAACAAAACACTAGATGGGATTTATTCATTATTGTATGTGTGCCAAATTCATGACTCCTGATATACATTATTAATAGAAGAAAAATAAATATTCACTGGATAATTTTTTAAAAATAAGAAAAAATGTAAAAAAGACTATGAGAAACTATTAATATGGACTAACAACTGAAAAATAGTATAAATGGTATAGTATAAGCAATTTTATTCTATACTATTTGTTTAAACAAATAAACAAACAAAGAGAAGAGTGTAATTCAAACACCAAAGTTGATCAAAACATCATAACACAATAAAGGAGACAAATATATGAAATGATATTATCAGCAAAGTCAGAACATAAATACAATTTCAAAAACAAAAATGAAATTCAATTCTGTGTAAAATCCTTTGCCAAAAATTCCAAGAAAATATTGTTGAATTGAAAACTTTAAAATGTATCAGATTTTAAAATAAGATACCAAGTTTCAATCCAGCATGGTGGAAGATTCTGACAGAGGAAAATCAATGACATGAGATAAATTGTTTATATACAAAATGCCAAAAAATTATATTTAACAATTAGTGATAAATATATTCAACATTAATAATGTAGGTAGAAGAGCATATAGAAATTGCTATAAGAAACTAAGAATGAGAATCTCCAAAAAGCCATATTTGTTTGCCAATGAGAAATATCTTTTGTCCCTAGTTATCTTCATACTATGACTGAAAAATCAGAATTAGTTCAGATTTTAGGTTCCATGATTTCTGCTCTAGCTATTATTGTTTGGAGCACTTCATAGTTTGTGTTATGAAAATAGACTGACATAAATCTATCCATGTTTTTTTTCAAAAATGGAAAAAAAAATGCTTGTTTGAGAAGTGATGGCAGTCATAATGTCGGAAATCTCATTTTTTTCCCCACAGCCACTGAACTATGAGAAAAAGAAGTCATATACCCTCAACATAGAAGGCGCAAATACACATCTTGATTTTCGCTTTTCTCACTTGGGTCCTTTTAAAGATGCCACCATGCTGAAGATCATTGTTGGGGATGTAGATGAACCACCACTGTTTACCATGCCTTCTTATGTTATGGAAATCCATGAAAATGCCAAGATTGGGACTGTCGTTGGCACAGTTTTGGCACAAGACCCCGACAGTGCTAATGGCTTAGTAAGGTGGGTGTGCTTTTACTTTTTGGACAAAGGTTTTTATTGCCTCTCATTGTAGTTTAAAATTAATGAAATACTACTTGAATTATTTTATTTACCTATTATTTCTATTAATTTAATCAAATTAGAATGTTAACTGATTCTTTGGTAATATAGCAGATGGGTTTCTATCAAATTTAGAATGACTGTAGCTCTTTCCATGAGTATACTGTGGAACACACTGATGAATTTTCCCATTTGACTTAATAGATATGAACAATATGGACTGGAAAAATTTATGCAGAAATATTTAATCACAAACTACAAAATCTTTGGTCCTTTAGTGTTAGGAATTAGAAATAGAATGCTGAAAACTTGGGATTTGGGAATAACATTCTTTTTTGACTCCTGGTTCTGTCATAAAATAACTGTGTACCTTTGGAAAATCATCTACCCTAATCCGTAAAAGAAGGAAAATGGATATCTGTCTTTCAAAGTTTTTGTGAGAATACATGAAGCAATGTATGTAATGTGCTAAGCAGAGTAGCTTGCGCTTAGTAGTCACTCAATAAATGCTAACTTATCCAAGGCCGCAAAGATTGCTATTTGCATACCACTACACAGCATGGAGACTGGACTCTGAAGACAGGAAGGTTAGTGTGGGAATTCTGGTGTATCGATTTGCTAGCTGCGCAATTGTCTACATTCAACCTTGCTGGACATCAAATTATTAATACATGAACAAGGAATAATAATGTTGCATGAATATGTTGATAAAATTACTTAGACTTATATAAATATTTAGTACAGTCAGTAAGTGTGCACTAAATAATATTTTATTATTTATTATATTGTAGTATATCATTCTATAGAGATAATTAAAGCTTTCCGTGAATAGACAGGTGACAAAGGTTTGTCTTTCTTTGTCTCAGTTGTGACAAAATCAAAGAGCTACATAAATGTATAAGACTTTTGTTGCCCTGTGTTTATACCCTTGGAGAATCCTTAGGCCCTAGAAAGTTTAAAATCCTTAGCATATCTGTCTGCTTTTTCCTCTCAAGTCCTTATTCTCACTCTTTTTAGTGCTCGTCCATTTTAACAAAAGCTAGCATGGTAAATATTCTCCTCCGCATCTACATGATATTTGTAAAGGTCTTGGTTTCCTTTTATATAAGCATAATCACTTCAGTTTTAAAAAATGCTTGTGGCACCTGTGCGAGGAGATAAAATTGTGTGCAAATTAATAATCCTGTTCCAATTGTGAGTGTAGAAACAGTACAATGTCAATTGATAACCCCTTCATCAATCTGAGAGCAAAAGCTAGACATTGCCTGAAGAATCACGATTAGCAAAATATACAAAATAATATGCATAAACCCAGTTATAGAAATTCATCTCTGAGTAAGGGATGGAAGCAGAAGTTGGTATGCTTAATTGTCCAACCAGAAGAGCCAACTATGCTTCATCATTGAATAGAATGCCATTTTTTAATAACATTTGTGGCACTTAACAATAAGTAAAATATATCTAATGATATTAAAAACTGTAATGCTGTAAAGGATATTTACAAATGTGGCCCTTCTTTACCAAAAAGAACCAACACCTTTTGAGAATAAAAATAATTCATGGTGTTAGTTTGATCTCAAAATATTTGATAAACTTTGGTTAAGACTTTCTTCTGAAAACTAAATTTTGATATTAATGATACATTCTATTATTTGTAATTGAAAGAGGTATACTCATTTTTAAAGTGATGTTTATAACACCTCTCATATGCCAATGTTACAGTAGTCTTTATGATAATAAAATTAAACAAATGCACAAACACATACACACACATATACCAGAGCAGCTTGATGTTCATGGAGAGATGAGCCTGAAAAATAAATTATATCCTTTATTTAGGGTGAAAAGGTCTGATAAAGATGTGTATGGAACAAGTGTGCCCAACATCTTCTAGAAGGAATGAGTTAAGGAAGGTGGAATTAAGTCTCAAAATCCAGGTTAGAGATTAGACAAGTGAAAGATAAAGAAGAGAACTGTAGTTTGTTGTGTATATACTAGGAGCTTAAGTTACATGTGGGGGAATAGCAAATGATGAGGTTATAGAAAAGTCAGAGAGAGATCATGAAGAAGTTTTACGTTAAGCTGACATTGTGAAATTTATCTTGACAATAATGCCAAAGAGGGCAAAAGAGGAAACAGAGATGCATGCATAATGTTAATGAAAACAATGCCAGGAAGATTTGCATTTCAAAATAAATACTTATCAATAAGTGCTGTGAAGGGTAGAATATATATGCCAAAAAGGTAGGCCAAAGGAGGAAAACTTGAGGGTAGGAACAACTTATTTCAATGTTGCTGTATATATTTTAACATATTCCAAAACACAGAAACAGAACAGTGACTTTCACCATAGGTCAACTCGTATCCCACAAACAGGGGATATCCTGCAATGTCTGAAAACATGTTTGATTGTCACAACTGAGAGAGAAATGCTGCTATCACCTGTGGATAGAGGGCAGGGGTGGTGCTGAACACATCCTACAGCTCACAAGAGAGTCCTCCCAACAAAGAATTAACTGGTCCAAAATGTCAACATTGCTGAGGTGTAGAAATATAGAGTAAACCAAATTGGTGGTACTTTTGTAAAACAGGAGTGCTTATTATACTTGAAAGAAATTTTGAAAAGAGATATTTTGGGAAATGCATACCAGTATATATGTGTCACATGCATGCATACTCATTATTTTTAAAGATAAATTATTTATATATAATTAGTTGTCCTATATTATTAATCGCCTCAGTAATTGCTCCATATTATTGGGAGCATTTAACTGAACACCTGCTATGTTAAATACATTCTCTCAGTTGTTGAGAAGCAAAGATGATTTGCATATTGTTTCCAAATCCTAATATTGACAGGCACAATTTTATTAGCATATGAATTATTCTTTCTGCTTCGTTTTGGTTAGAAAAACTAAAATGAATCCTTCCAAAGCTGCCTTAAAATAATTAGACTTCATAGCTGCTGTTTAAGGGCATAATTTACATATTTATTCTTGATTTTAATAAAAATGTGTCACTCATATGGGCCTGTAGGTGTAAACAGCAAATAAAAAAACAGAAAACATCAACAAATACAAAAGCAAGCCTTATACTTCCACCTTCCTCAGGAATCAAATATTTGTACTAATTAAGGAAACATACTGTGAAAAGATGTACCTCACAATGTGCCCTGAAATGCAATTAACTCCAAGTTTGTAGAATTGATAATAAAAGGCATTTGAGTCTTACAGGCGTTTGTGAAAGATTCCTGACTTCAGTCCTTTGTATTTCAATTTTCTAAATTATTGGTAAGATTCTTCAGATCTCTAAGAGCATACCATGTCTAGCTTTTGTCTCTTTCAACTCAAAACAAGATGTGCAATTTGCAGCAATATAATCATCATCCTTTTTAAAAATGAAATCTGAATCAGGCTATTTACCACTGGTGATGAACCCCTTAATTTGAAAGGCTGTGCTCACTTGCTGGCATACTGCAAGTGGAATTCAGAAATTTCCTGAGTAGCTACTGAGAGATGAGCAATACTAAACTGGACATGAGAAACTAGAGAGCTTTCTGGAAATCTGAGCTTGTAACATTTGATAATTAAAAAGACTGATATTAACTTGCTTGCTGTGGGCCAGGATCTTTATATAGTATGCCAAAAACCCTTGTAATAATCCCAAAGAGTCTATTTTATTAATTCAATTCTACAGATGAAGAATTTAAAGCTCAAAGAGCTAAGTATTTGGACCGAGATTACATAGTGATAAAGTGGCAGATCCAGAATTTAAGTTCAGTTTAGCTTTACTCCCGAAACCCTGTTTTTTTTAAAGCCATAATACATTGCCTTTCATATATTTCAAATCAAAAGAATGATAAGTTGCATTTACGGAAGTCAGGTATTACAAAGTGGGTAGTACATGACTGTTTCACAGGTTCAAAAAGCCATTGATTGAATATCAGGACCCAGGGTCTGCTATTCGTGTGAATGCATTTCATACATTAGGAAAAATATATGCTAAAGAATCAAGACTCATTGTAACTCCAGCATCTCAGGAACAAAACTGTTCTTATTTTAGGATTTCTCCATATTGTAAAATCAAAGACATACTACTTGATTTAGTAGAACAAAAAGAAAATTATTGATGTCCTCAATTATTATGTGTCATGATGAGGGCTTTAGTAAGAATTGATATGAGTAAGTATATTCTTCCCTCTTTATTTCTATTCTACTCCAATTTATAATGTGAATTTGCCTATATATTTACCTACTGTTAAAAGGTTTTAGTTTTTTTGTATAACTTTATTTTTAATTTGCTTAATTTTTAGGTAATTTTATTAAAATATATTTGTCATATAACCTTGTGTAATTTACATTGTAAAACATGTTAAATTGATACATTTACATTTTTATTGAGGTACATACACTAAAATGCACACATCTTAGTATATAGCTGGATGAATTTTGACATGTGTATAAACTCATATAACCATCAGCCAGATCAAGACTTCAAACATTCTCACTTATTTTTCTCCATTCACCTACTTCTGTTTGTATAATTACTTAAAGGCAATCACAAGGAAATATTAACTATCTCACATAATCGAATCTAAAATGAATCCTACCCAAGAAAGGATTAAATGAATCTTTATTGGTAAGGATTCAAATGTTCATCATGACATCACATAGTAAGCAATAGCCCATTTTATGCTATTACTAAAAGAAATAGTAGAATTGTGATCAGATTTGGAAAATTTCGCCAAATTAAAAAAAACTTTCTACTATACTTTCTTAAAAAAATAATTGTTACAGAGAATGAGAAAAATTTATTCAGCCTATTTTAATTTAATTGTAGTCTCAGTGGACAAATGCTTCTAGTGTGTTTGTTTTTCTTACACATTTCTGAAATTTTCGCATAGCTCATGATGAGATGGGAGTTAGGACTACCACGTTAATTTTGAATGTTATAGCA